GGCAACTTTCAGAATGGGGAAGCGCTTCTTAAGCACCCCCAAATCCCTTTCCACATGGTTCCTCAGTAGTGCGTGGCGGTGGTTGAAGAGCTCCTTTGGGTTTTGTGGCCTTCGATGTCCAGCCCCAAATTCTTTCAAATGGTATCGAACTCCTCGATATGGAGCAAGGAAAGATGGAGTATTCGCATACCCTCCATCAACTAAATAGAATTTGCCTGGACGTACTTGGAAGCCCTTGCTCATAGTTGATCGTAGCACTCTTGAATCTGTAGTTGATCCCTCCCATCCATTAGAAATGAAAGTGATGTTGAGATCGAAATCACATGCCACCATCACATTAATGCTTAGTGTGCCCTTCCTATTTCTAAAAGGAGAAGCTTTCTCAGATCCTATGGAAATAGGAATATGAGTTTCATCAATGGCACCTAGACAATTCTTAAAAAATGGATAGAATCTAGAATTGTCTTAGATTTTTTATGCACTTGATTAGGATCGAGAGCTTGAAGGTAACAGCGAGAGAGTGCAGGAATGGCCACCTTGAAGAAGTGGTTGATGCGATGATGCAAGGTGTCATTGCTATGCCCAAAGAACACTTGGAGATCCTCATACGAGGCATTGTGACTTAACATGTATAGGAAGAAACCTAACTTCTCCTCCGCCATGATCCTAGTATCAACAACAAGCCTTTTCCTTCTAAGATAAGTTGCCAATTCTCTAAAGACGTGTGGTTCCATCCTAAATACAACTTGACAGTTCTTGACATGTCCCTCGAGGAGTCTACGAACTTTAACCTCGCGTGTTTCTTCAGAAGTATGATGTTTCTTCCTTTCTCCCCCTCTAGTAGAACTCATAAGATATAAGGCGGAGAAAATAAATAGCATCATGTCATCTTCTTCTTCCTCCCTCCTCTTTCTAATACGATCTCGCAGTGAGAGACACATTGTAGAACTGAAGCATATAATTTTATAGTCATATAGAAGCTAAATATTATTAACCATGTCATATAGAAGCTCTAATAAAGATTAGTCATATAGAAGCATATGCCATATAGAAGCTTCTGAAGTACCTTTTGGAGTTGGTACCGGATCCAAGAAGGCGGAGGTTCACCTTCCCCAACTCTAAATGGTGCTGGAGAGATCTACAAGTAACAAGTGTCCTGTTCGCTTGGCTGATAAGCCATGGCTGAAAGTACTATTGGTTGATTTGTTGTGAGAGAAACATACTGTTCGTTGGCTGAAAAAGTACGGCTTATAAACCAAGCGAACATGGTGAAGAAACCGTAAGTTACATAGTGCTGGAGGGTTATATAATACATCTAAATAGTGCTGGAGGATATACAATACATCTAGCATTGCATGCTATATTTCTGGAAACTGAAAAATAGCTGAAAACAACATGCTAGAATTAAAATTATTTTTATTTTATTTATACTGTCAACACATAATATAATGTATACTGCCAAGTATAGAAAAATAGACACATGAAGCTACTACCTACTAAACTAAAGAATCAGTCATATATCAACATTATACAAAACTCTGTATTGACATGAAAGTATCAATTTTAGGAACAAACTAAAGAATGGACAAACTAATTGTGTGCAGTCCATCTATTTCAGTTCTGGCAATCAGTAACTCTATGATATTATGGTCATTAAATAGAATTAATGTTACAAGCCTCTTCTCAGAAAGCACATCTGCTACAGTAACGCTCTCACTACAAGAAAAAATAGTGGTCAAAAGAAACATGAAGGCAGTCAGCATAAAAGACTAGTTAATCGTCACATCACAAGAAAGGGCACAAAAAGGTTGCTACACTAGTTAATCGTCGACGTGTTTAACAACAGGCCCTCTATCACAACAAATTACCACCACTAACAAAAGATTACAGAGGAAAGGAAAGCCACTGTAAACATGTGAGATGCCGGTGTGCTAGCACCTTGGTGATGAGCGATTGACAACACGGTGTGCGTGTGACGTATCTCTCGGCATGTTGTGGTTGTAGGTGACAGGTGGAGACAAGGTACATGCGGCGACGAGTGAAGAACGAGGATAGGATGCCGTGCCGAAGAACCGTGGGGGCGGAGAAGTGTGGATCGAGGCTTGCGTTCGAGGGACAGGCGATCGTGTGGTGTACGTCTACTGTACCTAGCTACACGGTGGGAGGACATCGAGGGAGGTTTCCAGATTACGCCACAAAATCCGGGGTTCGCTGGTTGAGCCACAAAGCCATGCATCGTACCGGGACGCTCGTGCGGCGTGCGTTGGCCGAAGATGGAAATTCTGGCGATTGCGATACGATTTCGGATGGTCGTGCGGCGACATCGCAAGGATCACATCGCGGAGATGGAGGGATCGCGGACATCGCGGAATTTGCCATGGAGGACGTAATTGGAATTTACGCCCCTACGTTGGATTTATTTAGAGTAGGGGGTTATGTGAAAATAAGTCGTGCCACCCTTTGAAGATATAAATATGTGGCACCTAGGGTTGAGAAGGGAGGGACGTTTTGGACTCCCGGCGAGTTACTATTCACGCGTGAACAGTACCCGTGAAGAGTACTCGTGCCCCGGGGTTCAACGGTTCAGTTTTCCTCTCTCCGGTCTAGTCTAGGGTTTGAATTCTAGTGAGAGGTTTTTGTTGATCTCTCCGATTAAGAGAGGGAGGATGTTCGGACGGAGGCTAGATGCACTTTTGTAAGTTCAATTACTCAATTTAATCTTTCATCTATAATGATTGATCTTGTGCATCTCGATTTGTTCTTTACAATTCTCGTTAGTATCTGACATAGTCTGCTTGTTTTATTTTTATCTAAAGATCCGTAAGTCAGATTGACGTGATTCCAGTTAGGTTAGTTTCGTAATTTCATCTAGTTTAATCTGACAAATTTTTAGGTCGATCGGAGTTACGGATTTTTGTCCACATCAGGTTTACTAGGTACATAGAGTTCTGTCCAGATTTAAAAAACGTGATTTAGTCAGGTTTTGTGTTTAGGGGAAGGGTTATAAATTTTTGGCTTCCGCGACCATTCACCCCCCCTCTGGTCGCCCGTTTTGATCCTTCAACATGAACTGTCCCGGGCTTAGATATTACATCCTAATCTAAGCTGTGGACAGTTCATGTTTATGTCTTTTCTTCGGCGGAAGCGTAAGCAAAGTGCGCACAAAGAATCGCAACTGAAGCCACTGTTCTTCAAATCAGGGATCAGTGCAGGTCAATTTCACCCTTTTCTTCACGACTCTAGGCCAGAAGATTAATAAAATAAATAAATTTGGGGACTCAACCTGGCAACCTGCTGACAACTATAGTAGAATACATCAAACGTTCCCAGTTAGAAAAATGTAGGCGCTCACAAAAGCAAACTATGCCATCTGAATGCCAATGCCACCATAAAATGCATGCAGTGGATAGCCGGACTTGAGGAAATACTAGTGACACAAACTAAACTACAAGTATCAATTGTTTAATTACAGTGATATAGTTCCTTCACATATGTCAGAGTTCTTCTCTAGATCGAAGAACTAAAGAACACACCTATGACCTAGGTCAACCTGGAGTAGGATAGATCGGCGTCCACTTCTAGCCCCCACTACTGATCACATCATCATCCATCCAGGAGACCATTGTGCTCAAGATCAAAGAACCCTAGAGGAGGGAGAGAGGACGAGGACGAAGGGGGGAGCGAGGGGATCACCGGCGAGAAGGAGGAAGGGGAAGGACGTAGGGTCGCCGTCTCCTCGCGCCGCGCCGCCCCTCCGTCGCCCTGCTGTCACCTCTGCTGCTCGAGTCAGTCGTGTGCTCGCGTCACTTCCAAGAGCTGGCACCGATCCGGAGGTAAGGAGGTCTGGTTCCGTTCCGGGCCGTGGAGATAGGGAGAAGCGAGGCCAGTTTTGGTTCCAAACCGGGCCGAAACGAACGCACATCTCATTTGCATCCGGATTGAAAACGGGTCGCTGTCACGTTAGTGTAAAGTCTCAACAAACCTAGCGCTAGCGGTACGATCGATACTGTACGTAGGGCACAAGTTTGCTTGCCCCTGCCCCGGCCCGCGATCAACAGTGAATGACGAGTGGAAGGTAACGTCGCAGAAAGAAAGCACATGGTGATCGACCTTGCCTAGTCGCCTGCCTGTTTGATACGTACGGGGTAGAGGTGTAGGGCTAGAACGCCCCTTGGAATTTTGCTTACTTTCGGATGATGATATCGATGCCAGGAGATTGCAATTTGCAAAAAAACAGATCTGCTATGAGATCAGACGAATCCCCCTATGCTGACTGCTGGAGAGTGAAGAAGGGACAGGAGAAGGGACGTACGATGGCCGTGTACGTACGGGCGAAGATGCAAAACCGTCCATGGAAAACTTGCTCGTGAGCATCGAACTCGGTGGCGCAAGAGGTGTGTTCGTGAGCATCGAACTCGATGGCGCAGGCCCACGGCAGGAAGGCGGACACGTGTCACGCTTCGGGCTCCGGCCGTAGAACATTTGTAACGGATAGCCAGGTTGAAGAATCATTGCAGGCAGGATACTCCAATATAGCCCTCGCCATCAACCTATCATCATCAAGCAACTCCTCTAGTTCTCGCCACCCCCGGCCCGGCCCTCTTCCTTCAGCCGCGCACAAGCACAACACGGAGCTATCGATCGCCCCCTTTCTCGCAAAGAATCCAATCAACGTCGTCGTCGCGTCTGTGTAACCACGATTATTGAACGCCAAGAAAACACAAAGCCTAACCTTACCTGCAGCCGCGGAATCGATCCGCAAGGCTCACCTCACACCATGGCACGGTTCAAAGAGCTAAACGCACTTTTCAAAGAGAGAGAGAGAGAGAGAGAGCTATGTGCCTAGGTAGAACGTCGGTTTCGCGGACGATCCAGCGGGCCGCAACGTCCATGGAGGCTAGGTGCGGTGGGAGTGTGTGGGACGGGTGCGAGGCGGGCCGCGGCAAGGCACACTGTCGGTTCTCACGGGGCACGTGAAGAGGCGACCGGGCAAGGCGAGGATGGGAGGGCCTGTCTGTGGCCACTGGCCAGTGGCTTACAGGCTACAGCGACATGCTCCTGCTGTTAGTGTTAGCCCACGTAACGCGTAGCCACCTCGCGCAGCCACTGCTGGCTACTGACTGCTCTGCGCTCAGAATGCATGCTTGGATGGAAGCTTCAGTCAAAAAATAGAAAAAGAATGCTTGATCGATGTCTGCGTTTTTTTCCCCGAAGAGGAAGAGATTCTGTTAAATCGAGAGAATAATTATTATTTAAACTCACTGAACAATAAGAAAAGTACGTTGTGGTGTATCCAGCTCTCTAACAAAAAAAATCACCTCCAATTCATGTTCTTAACGATTGCCTAGTTCTTATATGCCGAAACTCAATGATGCCAATGACCAGCGTTAAAGCATTACCCTCCAATCATACATAATGATAGGCTTCAAACCATGAAAACACGGCACGATCCAGTGCCATGGGAAATTCCCTTGGTGCATATGACATATTGAAAGAGTACCGATTGCCCTGACGTAAAAAATGATCACATACTTTCAATCGGTAGCGAAGCTAGAGCGAATCCGAGGGGGTGTAGCTGTCTTATAGATATGTAGATTTGAGTCGTAACCTTGATGAAAATTTAACTGTATCCACTGATATTCAAAAATTTTGTGGGACAACAATACATGTAGCTTCGCCACTGGGTTGGTACCATGAATACTAGTCATTCTAAATTGAAAGTTTGGGTAACTTCCCAACCATCGCAAGATCAGAATTCAGTGAGCAGATGACGCAAAGATGGAAATGACGAATAAAACCATTCCACCAATCGCATCTATCCTAAAAAAACAACAGCATTTGCACTAGAATTCTTTATAAGAGTCAAGATCCGACAAAGAATTGACGAAGATGATGCCATTCGATAGCTCATGAGGCACATTTTATTCGGTATAAATTCTAAGGAGGGTCCTGTTCTCCTCACCACCAGCGAGGTTGCTGCATCATGAAGAGAAAAAACGAGTACCGGTGATGATGGTATCGCATAATAAGACTATAGGAGCCTAGGGCTTCAGAAACGCACAGATGGATTTTTGTGTTTCTAGACTCTAGGTCCTCCAAGGCCCAAGGGTTACGCTGTGCTCTAGTATTTTCTTGGGATAAGTAGTGTCCATGTCGTGCTCATGAACACCGGCAACCTTGACCTCCTACAGTCCTACCACAAACAGAGACCCTATCTTCTGCTTCAGGACCCAACAGCTACCTGTGGCAAAGCTTCGACTACCCAACCGACGTCGAGCTCCCCGGCGCCAAGATCGGCCGGTCCAAGCTCGCCGACGGCAAGGATTTCAGCCGTCAGTTCATCTCGAAGAAGAGCCTGGTCCATCCGAGCCCCGGCCCGTACTCCATCAACATCGACCCCTTTCGTGAGGCATTGGTCATGGCCTTCCGGGAACGTTAGGGGGCCTCGTGTCGGCGCGGACTGCTCTGATCGACATATGGACCTGAGGACCAAGGGACTGCTGAAACCGGCCTACGTGGACACCGCGGACGAGGTGTACTTCACGTACAGCATCACCAACGAATGGTCCCCCGTGTGTTCTTCCTCATCGACGACATCGCCGGCCAGCTCAAGCTGATGCTCTGGTCGGAAGCCAATAAGCTGCTATGTCTTCTTTTATACAACAGACCAGGTAAAACGAAGAATAGCCAAATAAGTGCATCCGTCATCCGTGCATGATGGAGGGCGTCGTCCCAAATCCCGACAGTGTGAACTCTCGTGCCCTGGTTTGCTTGTCCGGTGATCAACGGTGGTTCGAGTATGGCAGCGCCACAGGGGGAAAACAAAGGACTTGTTTAAACCTCGGAAGTAGAGTTTTGGAGTGTCACGTGGAGATGTCGCATGGCGTGTTCGGATACTAATAAAAAAAATAAATTACAGAATCCGTCAGTAATCCGCGAGACGAATTTATTAAGCCTAATTAATCCGTTATTAGCATATGTGTTACTGTAGCACAACGTTGTCAAATCATGAACTAATTAGGCTTAAAAGATTCGTCTCATAAATTAGTCGTAAACTGTGTAATTAGTTATTTTTTTAGTTTATATTTAATACTCCATGTATATATCCTAACATTCGATGGGACAGAGAGTAAACTTCGAGGGAGCTATTTAGCAGTGTTGTTATGTTCCTGTGGCTAACAAGAAGTGACAATGAAGAAATCAAATGCTAAAACCTGTGTGACAGTACAAAAATAAACAATATGTAGAATCCACTATGCAAGGCATGTAGGGGACACATTGATTCATCTGTGCCATGCAGCTATAGAGGGTAAAGAATAAAATAGGAGTTCAGGTTGAAGAAAGATACAAATATGGAAATAATGACAATCAGTTTCATATTCGGCACTGTCTGTATTGGTTGTCTGCTCCCCAAAAAAATATTCGTTTATAGTAGGATTTAAATCACCACGCACATTTACCACAGCAAAAAGACATCACACTGTATAAGACAGATTTGCCATAGGAATCTTGAAAATCTTTTCCGATGGCACATTCTGCTTGCAACTATGCAGAGATCACATCCTGATTTTTACACGCCACTGCAATCTTTTGTTATCCACAGACCACACACATCCATTGCAGTAATTATGCTAATGCAGAACATGTGTTCCACATTTTTAGATGTTGTTAAGGTCCTTGAAGATGGAGACTTGCAGACTCTTGGCTTGTTGGATTATGACAAAAGGTTGAAACATTCTTTCACTGCCCATCCAAAGGTTGACCCTTTTACAGGTAAATTACATTGACTCAGTACTATTTCTTGATTTCCCTCTGATTTCTGACAACTTTTAATGTTTGTATTTACCCTCCTTTTAGATGAAATGTTCACATTCGGATATTCACATGAACCTCCATACTGTACATACCGTGTGATTACCAAAGAAGGAGCTATGCTTGATCCTGTGCCAATAACAATACCAGAATCTGTAATGATGCATGACTTTGCCATCACGGAGAATTACTCTATTTTTATGGACCTCCCTTTGTTGTTCCGACCAAAGGTGAGCACAGAAAACCTTCTTTGCATTTTCTTTCTGTGCTACTTATTTACATTCAGCTCATGGATGTCCTAGTTGATTCCTATTTAATGCAGTCAGGAAATGCTTCAAACCTGTTTTCATAACTAGATCATTATTGTTTTATATGATTGTATACAGGAAATGGTGAAGAACGGTGAGTTTATCTACAAGTTTGATCCTACAAAGAAAGCTCGTTTTGGTATTCTCCCACGCTATGCAAAGGATGACAAACTCATTAGATGGTTTGAACTCCCTAATTGCTTCATATTCCATAATGGTATGGTGTCTTTAGCTTTCTGCTGGAACTCTTAATGTATGGCCTTTTTAGAACAGGACTCAAGCTAGATCGGTTTCAAGTTACTATGCTTGACTATGCAATTCCATGTATTTCTTAGTTCGGGAATATTCTATGAACTGAACATCATTAAAGAATCTAGTTAGATGCTTCCAGAAGCTCTGAGAATTTCTAATTTGCCACTTTTGTTGAAAACAGAAAGCAGCGGTATGTCTACTGCACTATACTTGACAGCATTGCAAAGGTGACTGGCATCATAAAATTTGATCTGCATGCTGAACCGGAGAGAGTTTGCTATCTCAACTTGGCATCCATATAATTTTGGCAAAACAAGAAAAAATAGTCTCCAACAGTTTGGCAAAACAACTTGACATCAATAGCAACTTGGCAAATCTTCCCTCCGCGCGCGCAAATATACGCGCGCGTATACGGCTTGGCATCCGGGGCTTTTCGTTTCTTAGCGGGGCTCTTCGTTCGCTTAGCGGGGCTCTTCGTTTTGTTAACGGGTTTTTTTATTTTATCAAGTCAAAAATGCCAAACTCTTGAGATGGATTGTTTTTTTTACTTGGCATATATTTTTGGGAGTTGGCAAATCACAAGATTTGTTAAGTATAATTTGACAAATTCTTGGAGATGCTCTGCTTGAAGTGGGAGGAAATATACTAGGCTTATATGACCTGGGACCTGGTAGATTCGGTTCAGAGGTGATTTTTGTTCCCAAACAGCCAGGTGTATCTGGAGAAGAAGACGATGGCTATCTGATATTCTTTGTACACGACAAAAATACAGGGTTGTAATGGTAGTTTATATAATGTTTTTGTACTTGTGGTCAGATTTGAATTATATATATATATATATATATATATATATATATATATATATATGTGTGTGTGCGCGCGCGCGCGTGTTCAGGTCGAATATGAATTGTAAATTTGATTTTTTTTTGCGAAAAAATATATTGTAGGATGGTTCTAGACTAAATCGTCCCTACAAACAGGTATTATAGGGGCGGCTGGTACTACCCTATAAATCAATTTGTAGGCGGCGGTGATAACACCAGCCGCCTCTACAAATCGATTTATAAGAGCGGTCTGGGAACTGATCCTACAAATACATGATTTGTAGAGGCGCTTGGGTAGGGACGGCTGGACAAACCGTCCCTACAAAACCTCTAGAGCCGCCCCTACAGAGGTATTGTGCAGTAGTGTGTGGAGGTTAATTATGGGTGCATGCAAATGATAACTACCAAATTCAAGAGATGCCTTTCGGGAAAAGAAAAGGATACGAAGGTAATGTGTCCAGAAATGCTATATAACACACATGTGTTTTAGTAAAAAAAAACACATAGATTTTTTTCTCTCTTTCTCACCGGTGACCACCAGCGAGCTCGCCTCCGGCGGCGGCGGTGGATCTGTGATTTGTCCTTCCATAGAAAAAAATTATGATCTGTGATCTGTGGAGGCTAGAGGCTGGAGGTAGAAGAAGGGTGGAGACTGTTGGATCTTAATCCTATGGTGCAAAAAAAAAATCATATGTTGAAACTGTATAAAACACATGGTTGTGTAATAGACAGACTCAATGTGTCTTTTGTGAACGTCCTTAATATGTCTGAAAAGGTGGCCATTATGCCGAGTGCCACTGGAAAGACACTTGGCAAAGGTAGCCTATTTGTCGAGTGTCCTGTCAAAACACTCGGCAAACAGGCGACCTTTGCCGAGTGCCTGGCCCGTGGCACTCGGCAAATCTGTGATGTTTGTCGAGTGTTTTTTAGAATTACACTCGCGAACCTATTTTCCAAAGAAAAAATAATTTTTTTCTCAATATATTTCAGTTTAATAGCTGTCATACAAAACACTCTTAGTACAATTATCAATGGTCAAACCCATTTAAACAATTATCAATGGTCAAACCCATTTAAACAATTATCACAATTAATAGTCTCAGGGTGCCTATAGAAAAGCGATTACAATTTGACATGTAGAGTATTAGCCATTAAAAGGCAACTGTATATTCACAGATTCTAACATTTCACCAACATCTATACATCAGCGTCTATCGCCTAGCTGGTCCAAACCTTCTGAGCTCTCCAGCAACTCCAGCCACATCTAGCCATCATCTTACCATCTGGTCTACATGAGAGAAACAAAGAATCAGCTTATGCATCACAAATCATAAACCAGGATGTTACAATGAATTGAAGGTCACACTTTTTTTAACAGATGGTTCCAAATAAAAATTTGAAAGCAAGATAACTTCTCATCTATTCTGTTATTTACTTTGCAGAATGTGTTTTCTATTCAAAGCAAGACTAACCAGCTACCAGCCTAACATGATTCAACCAACCAATTATCACACGCAAATAAACAGAACATTTCGTCTTATCCTCTAAAAGAGCATTTCATCCTTATAAAGACTAGTCATATTCCTAGTTGTGTCCAACAAGTATCCTTAGGAAGACCTACTGGACAGACAACGCAAGCAATGGTGACATAGGTGAAATCTAATCTCTGAAAAAGATAACTTGTGCAATACTAGTATACTACTGAAAGTTGTAACTTCATTAACACATATTTACAAATAAAAGGATAAGCATGTTTGATTAATAATTGTTAGGAGTTACTACAGTTTTGAAATTAATACAAATTAAACATGAATATTTCAATAGTTCATATGTTCAACAGATGACAACCATGTACTGAAGTCTGGACTGCCCAGAGTCCTCACAAACATAACACATAATCTTTATATGGTAAGACACATAGTTCAGAGAGCACAAATCATTTCAGTTTAATTGTAATACCATGAGAGTGTGAATAAAATATGTGGAACTGAAAGGAAAGGTATTATTTTCTATTGATGACTACTACAGACCCTACAGTACAAGGCCACCTCATTTCAAGGTTACAAGATGTGAATAACCTGAGCATGGTGGCAATTAAAAATCAATGATGGATCTAAAAAATAATGGTGCATGTACACAAGTTAGAGATTTCTTAAAAAGTCTTTACCTTGCTAGAGTGGTTTATTACCAGCTAGCAGCCAACATAACTACCTGCGGTCCTGCAAGCATCAAACATGTTATCACCAATTTGTCACACTCACACAACTTCTATCTTTTTCTCAGATAATATCAGTATATATCACTAATTTCTATCTTAAGCGAGTAAGGCATAAGGCGAGGCGAGGCCTTAAGAGTTAAGACCATCCTACAGTAGTATAGAAGCATGTCATACCTTGATGTTGTCTTCTCCTGTGCAGCCCGTAGTCCCCCAACAACACACTGCAATGGAGAGCCAATTCATGTTAGTAGCTAGGTATTTCACAGGGAATATGGCACCAGCAAAATAGAAATTAAATGAGGGACATGTAAAGATTAACATGTAAATAAGCACACTGCCACAAATAAAACCAATACACTATGCTTGGAGCAATTCAGCTTGTACATAAATGAGCTAGAGGGCAACAACTATATGGATCTTCTGTCTAGTACGATCAGGTTAAGGAATTCAACCTCACTAATACAACTGATGTCATCTGGATAAAAATACAAAACTGCTGCAAATTAGCCACACTCACCTACTACAACCATTTCATTTCTGGTTATAAAGTGCAGCAAAAGGTAACTCATCCTTAAACACACTCACCTAATACTACAATGCTGCTGCAATTAAGCAGCAAATTAGTGAATCTCTAGGAGCAGATATACAAAAATGTAAATTACACCAACATCATCACGCCCAATTAAACAACCCAGAGGTTGCATAAATTACAATTAAATAGTTCAAATGTACTATAATAACAGGAACCCGAATCGCAAAGCAAAAGCAAAACCTAACCCTAGATCCACGATTTGCAGCACCTAAACAAGACATGCACAGATCCATTCGAGGGAGGAGCTCACCACAGGATGTATGCCCGATCCGGAACTACAGTGCTCGTACGGCAGCTCGGGGAAGGGGGCATCACGGATAACGTCACAACCCGACCAAGGGCATGGCCAGTAGCAGCTGGCGGCGCCGGAGCCTCCTCCTTCTTCCTCCTTCCTCCTCTCCTCTTCTCCTCCTCCTCCTCTCTTTCTCCTCCTCCTCCGGCCGTGGCGGCGCTCGTGCGGGCGGCGCGGGCGCGGGCGGCGCTGGCGCTGGCGCGGGCATGCGTGTGTGCGTGTGTGCGGTGTGTGTGGGCTGGCTGGGCCGACAGGTTAAATCCCCCTTTTGTCGAGTGCCCCCGATCTGGCACTCGGCAAAGTTTTTTTTTAATTTTTTTTAATTCTTTGCCGAGTGCCACCTGGCCTGGCACTCGACAAAGAGTTTTTTTTTAAAAATAATTCTTTGCCGAGTGCCCCCGATCTGGCACTCGGCAAAGTATTTTTTTATTTTTTTTAATTCTTTGCCGAGTGCCACCCGGACTGGCACTCGGCAAAGAGGGTTTTTTAAAAAAAAATAAATTCTTTGCCGAGTGCCATACGTCCCGGCACTCGGCAAAGAGGATCATTTGCCGAGTGTCATTTTTGACACTCGGCAAACCATAATTTTTTTCTACTTTTGACCTTCAAACTTTTTCTGCAGTCCTCATACAATACCTGGTACTCCATGTGTTCAATGTGGCATATTTCTCGGACTTTTTCTATATTTCTTTAATTTATTTCATTTAATTAAATTTTCTTGGATAATTCAAATTATAACTGCTAGTCATTTGAATAATGAAAAAATGAATAAAAAAATGATATTCATGTTATTTAGTATAATGTGAGGCCGTATCTAGGAATAGACCACCAATTTTGAACATCTTGTTCACGAAATATGACCACGAACTTGCGGTCGAGGTGTTTTTAAATTCTATAAAAAGCAAACGAAGTCCGAAAATCATGAAACTTGTCAAGATGTTATGATATCATATGTGGAGGCTGTGATAAAAATTTGAAAATGTTTCGCTCAAGTTGTCACATACGATTTAGATACAACACGACTCAGTATGTTTTGACTCAGTATGCCTCCGCACGCGATTTTTTTCGACTTAGATATTTCTATTATCATAAAAATAAGGGGGAGACATATGAACTGAGACAAATCGTATGCATCTATACCTAATAATAAAAAGACAAAGTTTCTCTTCATCTATTTTTTTGGTCCGGCCATCCCTTAACTAACTTTGTGAATATGAAAATCTAGCTATAGCCCTTTTCTTTATATAACTAGGAATCCTAATCCAATTAGATATCTCCAATTTCAGGTGAATAGAAATCTTAATCAAATAGAAAAAATATATTAATATGGACAACTAGGAATCTTAATCTAATTAGATCTCTCCAACTCCGAGTAACCGGAATAGGAATCTTAATCAAATGCAAAAATATAATAATAGAAATCTAATAAAGAGGAAAGAAGGGTACAATTTCTTCGTTTAGTTTCTTTTCTGTTCTTTTGTCACTTTTTTCGGTTTGTCCGTTTTTACTTGTTTTGAGGTTTGTCCGTTTTTATTTGTTCCGAGTACGTGTTGCTTTACGTTCATTTAGACGCTTTTAACTTGGCTCTGAATATATTCTGATTTTTTCCATGGCTATTTTCTAGAGTACATTCCAATTTTTGTCATGACTGTTTTCTACTTGGCTTCAAGTATGCTTAGATTTTTTTTCTCATAGATGTTTTTGGCACCAGCTCGACTTTTCTGATTTTGTTTTCATTGTTTTCTCCCTCTGGATTTTTTGTGTTCTAATAAATATAATAAGAGTAAAAACAAATAAAAAATAAGAGATCAAATCCATTTTAATCTTTGACTCCTTAAGAAATATAGATTTTTACCACTAAGTTAATTTAATTTTTGAGTCGAACTCACGACCCATGTTACAACTCACTATGTTTTGGATCTCATTGCAACGCACATACATGTTTACTAGTAATATTAAATATTGAAAGACAGCTAGGTTAGATGCATGTTAGATCAATATAAGATGTTAGGCGTACGTATTATGTGTCAAACAGCGAAATTTCTCGCCACCCATTGGTAAGCAGGCAGAAACCGTCAGTCTCTATCTTGTGCTAGAGGCTACAGCTCTTCTTTCCGCCAAAGGATTCGACTACTCCTAGTACACGCTGACTTGACATTTTATATTTGTTGCATGTGCCATTACTTTGTTTTAGCCCGTCTTGCTACTTACTACGTTCCAAATGTAAATATCCAAATACCCATGTAGGGCTTGTTTGATAGGAGGAAATCTAAAGGAAAATCGTAGAAAAGGAAGTTGAAGCACGCGTTTGGAACAGAGGAATCGAGATTTCCTTTACTTTGGATTCCAATAGCTAGATGCCGATTTTACAAGCAGAAAAGAATTCACTCCAATCCTATGTTTTCTTTTCCTTTGCGTTTGCTGCTGATGATAAGTGCTTACGAGCTAGTGGCGGGTGTCAAGAACACATACGGCACTGACTAAACAACTAAGTTTGCAAATGTTGGGGGTAGAGGCGGCGGCGCCTACCTCCCTCCATATAAAAAGGCCTAGCACCTAATAGACCCATGGACCTCCTTGTAAATTCACAAACCGTAAGGGGTAGGGAGGAAGATGCCTTCTTCCACCTCCCTTATAAATAGAACCCAAGGTCTGGGGGAAGAACCTCCCCGGATTGAGCAAGCCTTCATCTCTAATGTCTTCCCTCCCTTTCTATGTCCCGTGTGGAACTTGCCACCTCAGCCACACTCTCGTCCCGATGAGGGCAGTAGCGAAGGGCAAGATTTCAACAACAACTCACTCTAAAATTCCTATACTAGCCATATTCATTAGTTCTAAACACCTATTCATGTTAAATTCCTGTGTTTTCCAATCCTCTGTTTTGCATCCCAATTCCTTTCCTATTCCTCCATTTTCTCCTATTCCTATGTTTTCTATTCCTTTGTTCCAAACAGGCCCATAGATGTGCTCATGAATATTATGTCTTCAATATATCGCATAATAAAAGCTCTTTGTTCCTGTCCTTCGCTTGCATCTCCGATTCTTCCATTGTCTTGCAAACTGCAGTGCTGCAACCTGCAGCTATATATAGAGTTCCCCTTCCTTCCTTCGTTCCCACTCCGGAAGAGAGTCGGTTCATATCAGATCTCGAATCGGATTGCTTTCAAGTCGAATTCAATCTAGTCACTGGTCTATATTTGTTCTATTGTTTTGTTGTGTTTGAGGAAGAGAGGTTGATGAATGATTTTTTGGTGGGCGGTGATGGAAGAAGAGCAAGGCATGGATTGGGAGGTGGAGGTGATGGAAGGAGACCAAGGCCAACGACCAATGGATTTGGAGATGACGACGACAGGCAAGGAATCTAGGGGCATGGATTGTGTCTTGGATTTTATTGAGGAGAACCCCATCGGAGTGACCATCTTCCCAGCCTCTCTCTCCGCCACCCCTTGTCGGTGGTGCTCTGAGCAACGGCGGCGGCTGGGTTCTACTCGACCTCAAGGCCTATATTGTCGGCGGCACAAACGCGACCACCGCCAAGGACTTCACGAGGACCGGCCACGAGATCTAGGCCACCCTCCGAGATCCAGGCCACCCTCCGTGTCGCCCACCCACCGCGTGTCTCACACCTCTGCATCCACTACCACCCTCAAACCGGCTGGTTTTGGGTCGGAGCCCGTCATCCTCACCGCCTGTGACGGCTTCGTCTTCTTCAGTGTGGCTATCTACAACTCCTACCACTTCGATGAGCCGACCTTGCAGGACTATTTTGTTTATCGGGTGTCGCTCTCTAGGATGCACGGCCAGCCGTCGCTCACGCGCCTCCTGCAAAATGACCCCTCCTCAGACTTTGCCCGTTGCAATGTTGGCCTCCTACGCTGCGATGATGGCGGCGGCGACGACGATGGCGGCGGCCTCAACCTATGCCCCACTACATTCCCTAGCAACACTACGTCATCACCAGCATCTGAGTTTCCCAAGGCAGTAGGGGTGACTACACACAGTATGATCTCTACCACTTCGACTCAAGAGAGGGGAAGTGGACCACCGAGGTGCTGCACCTTCTTCTACCACATGACGCACAAGGTGGTCGCGCTAGCGGCGGTGTCATAGGCTGGGTTGACCTCTGTTGAGGCATCATGCTCTGCAATGTGCTCATCGACCGCCCGTAGCTCCACTACATCCCTCTGCCCGAGCCTAGCAGGCTTGAGCTACCGTCAAAGGCCTCCGCAGATGTGTTCTGTGACATTGCCGTCGACCAAAGTGGTCACATCCGGCGCGTCGAGCACCAAATAACTCAGGTCAGGCCGTGGTCGCATAGCAATGGCACGTACATCTCCGACGACTGGACGGTCACCACATGGAGCTGGAAGGTCACCAACCCCAACTCCGCCTTTGCTTGGGAGGGGTGCTGGGAGAGGGACTGCAAGATCGTTGCTTCACACATTTCACGGTCACTGCCTAAGCTGCTAGGGCAAGCTGCTTCTCTACCACCATTGTAGCAGCTGCACAAAGGCCATCCTGCGTTGAGCTTGGACGACGATGATGTGGTTTATGTTGTGGCCAAGGTCGACCACCAAGACGACAAAGCGTTTGTGCTTGCATGTTAACATGCGGGATGGTACGCAGCAGACTACTTTGGAGCTGAGAGAATGGTGGGCATAAGTTTCACCTACACACAGTACAGACCATCGGACTACACTAGTAGGAAATAGGAATATACAATAAGCGTATGTGCAGTCACGGGCGATGCGTGGCAGGCTCAACAGAGAGCGCAGGACATGGAGAGCGGCAGCAGGGGCGGATCTAAGGGGGGCTCCAGCCCCCATACAGCTGGTGCATCAATAGAAATATGGGGAGGGTGAAGGAGAAAAAGAGGTGGAGGAAAGAAGAAAAATGGAGAGAGAGAGGAGGAAGAAGAGACCAGCCCCCCTTTAATCTTGTTCTGCATCCGCCACTAAACGACAGTGCATGGGTGGCATGGTATCGTGAAGCGGCAGCGCGTGCATGGCATGTACCCTGGCATGTGGTGCCCACGCCCAGAAACGCCAAGCACGAGAACGAGAGCATATGGCCTTCTTAATAATTCTCATTATTTCCGTGCAACGCACGGGCCTATTACAGGTTAATTGAATAAAAAATAATAATTCTCATTATTTTCTAGCAACGCACGAGTCACGTAACAGGTGACTCCATTGCGTGGTGATTCATCTGATGCCCGCACGTAACAACTTGGCACATTAGTCTACCACGTCCACATAGAAGAAGGAAAAGCAGGATGGATTTAGAAATAGTTTAGGGTTCCAATGCAAAAATGTTTATTAGGTTTAATAAAATTTTGAAAATGTATAATAATAAAACATAGAAATGATAATTAAAAAATGAAACTAATTTTGTTAAGTTTCTATAAACCAAAATGTTTATTAGATCATGAAATATGCTTTATGTAAGCAAATTTGTATATTTCTTAATATGTTCGTCTAAACCACAAGCCATATGCATCACGCGTAGATATGGATTAAAAATTGTTAATATGTTTGTCAAAACCATAAAACACGTGCATCGTTGTACAAATGGATACAAATTCATTGCCCCGTGCAACGCACGGGCATATATCTAGTAGGAATATACGATACGTGTATGCCAGGTCGAGTCCGACTCCCCGTTTCCATGATCAAGGCATCACGCACGCAACTTTTGTAGGGTCAAGATGGCAGACTAGAGGGGGTGAATAGTCCTTTTTAAAACTTAATCACGTCGGCTAACCGAAATAAATGCGGAATTAAAACTATTGGTTTAGCCAAGACTACACTCCTCTATCTAAGTTCACAAGCACCTTATAAAGATCCTAATTAGGCAACAAAGGTGCCGGGCTAGCTAGAACTCACCTAATCAATTCTAGAGCAAGGTCACACAAACCAATGCACTAGTACTTTGGCAACCAGGAGAGCTCCTACACAATCTAGTAACCAAAAGCACAAAGCTCCTAAGCTTACTAGCAAAGCTCAATAACAAGGCTACACAAGCCAAATTATAGAGCACAAATTACTTAGCTACACAAACTAAGCAATGTGACTAACAAGATTACTAAAACCAAATTAGCCAGGCAAAGGAGCTACTTCTATGCTATACAAGCAAAAAGGCAACTAGCAAGATACTAAAGCTAAACTAGTCACAAGAGCAACTACACAAGCACAATGTAAATGAAAGAAATACAAACTTATGTTTCGAGGAAAGCAAACCACCGAGAAGATGGTGACGACAATGTTGACACGGTGATTTTCTCCTGAGGTTCACTTGGTTGCCACCAAGCTATGTCCCCGTTGTGTCAACCGCTCACTTTGTGGTTCGGCAGCTAATTGGCATTAGCCGCCAAGCCCGCACATCAGGCACCGTAAGAACCTAACCTGAAAGTTAGGGTAGCTCAATGATAGGCTCAACTAGAGTTGCTCTTCACGATCCCTATGGCGGTGACCAACCCCAGCTCCCTTGCTTTCTACCGAAAAGCGGCGGTGGCACCGAACAACACTTGGCGATGCACCGCTCTCACCATGGCGGTGTACACCGTCACTTCTGGTGACCACTCCGGCTCCTGCTACCTTTGGCCAAGTCCTGATAGGCACCGCCCTAGGGGTGGCGGTGCCACCGGACAACCAGTGGCAGTGACGTTTGGGCAACACACTACTCTCGGCCTCCTAGCCGGTCACCGTCACTAGGGTGGTGGTGCACCGAACAGCTAGGGGCGGTGCCCCCAGGGTAGCATCCTAAGCCTAGTTTTGCCTCCTTTCTTCACCTTTTGATTTCTCCTTTGCAAATATGCTAGCACCACCAAGTGAACAACACCTTGTGCATGTGTGTTGGCTTTTCACAAACATTTTTCTAAAGGATTAGCACTCTTTTCACTACGCCACTCGATCCTAACATGTATGCAAAGTTAGATCACTCGAGTGGCACTAGATGACCGATATGCAAACAAGTTTGCCCCTCTTAATAGTACGACCATCTATGCTAAACCTGGTCATCAACTTCTCTACACACCTATGATTGGTGAAATAAAATGTCCTTGGTTATACCTTTGCCTTGCGCATTCCATTCCATCTCCTCCTATGTTGATGTGACACATGCACCAACATGATCAATAATGATATGATCCACTCCATATCATCATGTGCCCATATTGGTTCATCGATCTTAACTTCACTTACTCTTCACCGTTGCTTCGGTCCATCGGCGCCAAGTCATCGCTCAACTTGCCCTTCACACTTGCAACCGGTCCGTCAAGCCAAGTCATGTCTTGATCTTCTCCACCTTGATCACATGACTCAATGTCATGTCTTATGTGCAATGAGCTCCTTCATCATCACATGTGTGAGCTTTGCAACATCTTCGAGCCATCTTCACCGTCATGACATATGTTGCTCACACACATATATCTGTGGACTAATCACTTGTGTATCTCACTCAAACACATATTAGTCCACTTAAGGTTGTCACTCAATTACCAAAACCAAACAAAGACCTTTCAATCTCCCTCTTTTTGGTAATTGATGACAACTCTACAAAGATATGGAAATTAAGCTCATTTCAAGCTAGCACTTCAGACAAGTATAAATTGCTAACTTGATTTGGATTTTATGATACTTATCCAACATTTAAGCACTATGTTAAGATTTGGATAAGCATCATAAAACCCGACTTGGTAGTGATAACTCCCCCTACATGTGTGCTCAAATGGTTTGGTTTCAAGTTTGCACACATGCATAAATATGAAATTTGTGGGAGTGTTACCACTACTAAGTGATGCTAAGGTGTATAGAATAACCTTTGAAGCGTGATACCAATCGGAGTTACACTTTTAATCTCATCCTTAGCACCATGAGTAGCTAGACAACAAAAATACTAGAAGCCCCATGAGATCAACATTATAAGCAAGGTTCTAGTACCACATGTAGAAATACAAGTCTAGCTACCATCCTATGCATGCTAGTTATGAAATCATCGTTCAACTTCTATCACTAGCATACACCACACAAGCATGCATTTCAAGTTTAAAGACTTATGCAAATGCAAGCAAGCACATGAATATGCACATATCAAATGCAACCAAATAAGTTCATGAGCTTGCTCCCTCTACTTGTGTGCTTCTCTTGTCTAAGATTTTTGATATTTCTCAATTTCTCAATGTTGCTCCCTCTTTGTCCATGTCCATGTCCAACCTCTACTTCTTTGTCTCAATTTCTCCCAAAGCTCTCTCAAAGCTTTCATATCTTTATACAATCTCTCTCCCTTTGTCATCAATTTCCATAAAATGTGTGCTTCCCACTGATGCAGAGGCTTGCATTGGGGTAGATGGTTGAGGCTTGAATCTTGCATTTTTTATGGACACTTCCAAATATTGGAATGACACCACTTGTATAGCTCTTGAGATACCACATATAGGATCTTTGACCTTGATACCAATTGGTGGGACACCTCTCCCTATGTCATAGCATGGGTCATCCATTTGCTAAACTTGAGCTCTTATAGTGAGAGATGCATTCTTCATTTGATGATCACTTAAAGTTGAGGATCACTTGTGGAACCACCATCACTTCAATTGTAGTTGCTTCTTCATCTTCTTTGTCCTTTTTCTTTCACCCTTAGTAATCTTCCTTTTGAAGCCAAGGACACTCTTGTCACCGAAGTTTCTTTGAGTCTTCAACATATGCTCAAAGGTGACTTTTGAGTTGTAGCACCTCTCTAACTTGTTGCTCAATTTCTTCACTTCATTCTTGAGCTCATTGTTCTCCTTCAAAAGGTTAGTCTCACAAGACAAGGAAGTAGACCAAGCATCTATATGTGAAGAGCATGGCATTTCTAATAAATCATCACAAGAAGTGGATACATTCTTCTTCCCTACATCACAAGGGTTAGCAATAATATGTGATTGATCATGTGACCCATGTGATGAGCTCTCACTATTTTTAAGTTTCTTTGTAAATGCTTTAATGAGAGAAGCATGTTGATTTAATAATTATTCATGAGACGCAAGTAGTGTCTCATGAGTCAATTTTAGCTCACCATGTGAAGATTTAAGAACATCAAGTAATTTCTTATGTTCTTCACATGAGTTCTTTAGAAATGAGTTTTCATTTTCCAATTTCATTGTTTTAGCTTTCTCATTTTCTAAAGACATGGTCATGCTAGCAAGTCTACTCACAAGCTCATCATATGAATCAATATGATCAACCACATTAGCATTTGATACCTTGGTGTCACCTTGTGACATGAAGCAATGTGGTGTAGTGGATGGGCTTGTAGTAGCATCATAATCATGGCTTGAGCATGAACCAACATCATCAAGATCACCACCAAGTGTGTTTGAGGTAGAATCTTCATGTGCAACACTTGTGGCATCATCATCAATCTGGTGGTAATATCATCATCATCATCATCACTTTGACCATGAGGTGGAGCAATCTTCCACAATCACCAAATTGTGGTCATGCTCGACACACTCATG